AAAAAACTGTAGCAAGAAAAGCCAACCACCGCCCATGTGTTCCACGACACATTTAATATGAATTATCAGTCCTTTTCATAAACATTTCAGGAGCTCAAGAGTATGCTCCCATCATCCTCAAGGTTTGTGGTGTCAGAGTTTGAATAAGAATGCCTAACAAAGTAAGTATAGTACAGTATTTGGAATTGTTAAAATATGAAACCATTAGAGTAATACTTTATGTATTAACAGATTTTACTAATCAGGATACTAATCTTTATTAAAATCATACATAATATATGTACTATACGTATGGTATTCGTACTATGCTTTAAATTAGTACTGGTTAATAAAATCCGTTAATATGCATAGCATTATCCAAACCATTAAATGATGGCGCATGACTTAATCCCATGCGCTGCCGTTTTGAGTGCTGATCCTTTTTTTTTTTTTTTTATCATCCTGGCCGGCACTTTGCATCAAAATCCAATGGCTGCCCTCCTCTCATTTAGTCAACGTATAAAAGCAGCCCATTCTCTATTTTGTGAACAGATTTTTGCTCTCTTCTTCGGGTAATATTTTGCTCTTTGCTAGTGTTCTTATTAAGTACTCAATTTGTGTAATTCTTGGGCGATTTGGTGAATCATGTCGTAAAGGTTGTGTTTCCTTTAAGTTAAGAGGAGTGAGTTAGATTTCTCTTAGGATTTATAAGGATTGCCGTGTGTGGGTGTTTGTTATAACAATTGAGAGTGATTTGAGAGTTTTTGTCAGTTTATAATTTGTAAAAACGTTTTTGATATGTAGTGCAGTGGGCCTCAGTGTTTTGGAGTTCAACTTGATCATAGCTTATTCAAATCTTCAACAAGTAAACCACATTAATTGTTTGTCTTCAATTATTAGCTAATCTTGTGCGTATGATTGAACTTACATTGTGATTTGGTCCCACATCGCAACAAGAAATAATGCTATATTGTAATCGTCTATCTCAAGGTTTGTGATGCGAGATGCGTGGGACGACTCATGATGTTGATTGTATTTCCAGCACTTCATCTTTCTATATCTCGCCTCTTCATGTTCTTTAACATTTTATCATTATTTTCCACTTAATCAAATTGGCTTCACAGTCCGTAGTTAATTTTCTACAAATGTTCATCTCAGATATTAAATTTTTGCTTTGTGTATATCAACAAATAAACATTAAACTGATGTTTATATTTTGAAACCAAGTAGAAATGAAATTAAGATTGAGATTCTGCAAACTTTTATTAGGGAAGAAAAACTCCAAAAGATAATGAATTCTTGTTCAGAAGCTACGAACTAATAAGAAATTATTATTAAATTTTTATGAAAGAGACTACAGATCTAATTTTTTTTTTTTTTTAATTATATTACACAGTGCGGTAACTTTACCCCTCACTTCAAAGGGTCCCTTAGAGGCTGGGACACTAGGGGTAAATAAGTGTAGATGCTAAAATTTACAGTTTCAGAAAGAAGGTTTAATCTTGTAAGGTTGAGACCACTGACAATCTGCTGAAGCTATACACAAAACAAACAAGTGCGAAACTTATGTAAACACCAGTGTGGTGTATGTCGTAGGCATTCCGATGCTCAAGTCGATAAGGCTATTTAGTGAGGGATAAGGGAATGAAGGGTTACTGGAAGTTTAGTCAGACACTAAAATTACAGCGTAGGTGTATAACTCTTAGGAGCAAGAGCTTGGGAGCAAGTAGGTGGTATCCAAATTGAATCGTAATGAGAGGTAAGACCCCTTTTTATATAGTAGTCATAGGATCTTTGATTCCTAGTGGGACTTTGAATCCACAATGGCAGAGTTCTGGTAAATAAGAAAGACCCTGATTTACCCTAGTAGGACTTTGAATCCGCAATGGCAAAGTACTGGTATATAGGAAAGACATTGATTTATCGAGAGTCCTAATTCACATAAGATGCAGGATCTTGAATGAATTAGGATAAAATCCAAATAGGAAGTAGATGTATTAGGGCTTTTAGTGGGACTCTGAGCTCTCAGAAGTTATCATGGACCAATGGGCCTGACCCTAAGTGGGCTAATGGTGATGCCCAATATGGAGAGAAGTTGGGCTTAGGCGATGGATCTGACCCATGACGTGAACCTTAACATGGGCCAAAATCAGAATTGGGCCACGACCTTAGGCCTACACAGTAGAAATAACTCGCTTTGAACCCACATGCCCTTGAAAATCCATCCATTCAAGCCATGGAATGACATCACCCGCAACAAAAACCCCAGACAGATATATTGCTTCTTTTATGGCTCTCTCAATACGCCAGGCCTCGCTACCTTGTTCACCATACTCTCTCGGTGAAAATCGCTTTCCAGCTATCAGCTTCAGGTTTACATTGAAAGTGAAGTGCTCAATCAAGTTACTCATATTCACCTCAACAGGATTGAACGAGTTCTTTGCACAAAGTAATTTCAAACCTTTAATCAATGTCTCAATCTCCAAGTGCCTTACGTGCTTTAGCATTTCAAGTCGGTGACTCGAAAGAAGATCGGTGGTGGCTATTTTGCGAATCTCCCGCCAGTATGGTCCATAAGGGGCAAGTGCAAAAATGGCGTTGTCATAGCCAATATGTCTCCCCACCGATATACTTGGCCGCGTAGCCAAAATTCTGTCATTTGTAGTGAAGCATTCTTTCACAAATTCCCAACTGCTCACAATCAAAGTTTGGTGTTTACCAAGCTTAAGTGAGTAGATGGGGCCACATTTATCAGCTATGGCTCCAAGTGTTTTACAAACTGGAACCGAGGCAGAGAGTAGAGGGAAATGGCCTATGAGAGGCCACGCCCCATTTGGTTGAGGGACAGCCATCTTCTTGTCACACTTGTTTCTGTAATTTGCCTTAGCTCTCCATAAATGATAGAGAAGTAGCAGAGCTAACAGCTCTATAATTGATTGAGTGAAAGAGGAAAAATATTCCATGGTGGAGAGAGTGTGTTGTGGTAATCTGCATAACCTGCACTTCTATTTATAGTTGAGACTTGAGAGGACCTGCCAAAGCCTTAAAAAATATGTATTTAATTATTTTTTAAAAATAGTTTAATTCTGTTAAAACTTGTGGTGTGTGGCTTTCCGCTTGCCAGAGCCTTTGCTTGTACAGCCGCAACAAAAAGAAAATGCGCAGACCCTTTATACAGAGTAATTAAAATCTCACTCAACATTATACAACAACGATTACCATACCTAAGAATTCTTTAGAGAACATTTATTTATTTATTTATTTATTTATTTATTTTTAAAGTTTTATGCAAAGTATAATATATATTTATTAATCTTAATAAGGTAAAACGTTATAAGTAATAATCACATGGGCAGGGTGGAGGGTGGCCTCATCAAATTAATGAATTATTGCATTAATGCATGTTATGTTAGGAATAGGTTGATAATAAATTCAATAATACTATACTTACAAAGGTTTTTATACAAAGTGAGGTGATAAAAAATGAATAGAAGAGTGAAATAAAAAGTCAAACTCCTTAAATTCACTATTCCATTTATTTTTTACCACATCGTTTTGTATGAAAATCTTTATAAAATTTATTTATATGTGTAATATTACTCAAATAAATTATAACCATAGATACTTAGACCTCGTGTTTCACATGTATCTCTCCTACTCTACTCATATTAATGTCAAGATCTAAGTTTGTCTCCTTCTTCTACATCATTATCATGGGCCTATGAAATTTTCCGTTAAATTCAAAATTTAAACTGTAGTTGAAAGATGAAACCATTAATTCAACAAATATCTCAAGCTGTCCGGAGAACAAGTTTTGCATTAGAAAAACAAAAAAACTGTAGCAAGAAAAGCCAACCGCCACCCATGTGTTCCACGACACGTTTAATATGAATTATCAGTCCTTTTCATAAACATTTCAGGAGCTCAAGAGTATGCTCCCATCATCCTCAAGGTTTGTGGTGTCAGAGTTTGAATAAGAATGCCTAACAAAGTAAGTATAGTACAGTATTTGGAATTGTTAAAATATGAAACCATTATATGGTGGCGCATGACTTAATCCCATGCGCTGCCGTTTTGAGTGCTGATCCTTTTTCTTTTTTTAATCCTGGCCGTCACTTTGCATCAAAATCCAATGGCTGCCCTCTTCTCTTTTAGCCAACGTATAAAAGCAGCCCATTCTCTATTTTGTGAATAGATTTTTGCTCTCTTTCTTCGGGTAATATTTTGCTCTTTGCTAGTGTTCTTATTAAGTACTCAATTTGTGTAATTCTGGGATGATTTAGTGAATCGTATTGTAAAGGTTGTGTTTCCTTTCGGTGAAGAGGAATGGGTTAGATTTCTCTTAGGATTTATAAAGATTGTCGTGTGTGAGTGTCTGTAATATCGATCGAGAGTGATTTGAGAATTCTTGTCAGTTTGTAATTTGCAAAAACGTTTTTGATATGTAATACAATGGGTCTTAGTATTTTTTTCTAATTCAACGTGAACATAACGTATTCAAATCTTGAACATGTGAACCACGTTAATCGTTTGTTTTCAATTCATCGCTAATCTTGTGTGTATGATTGAATTGGCAGTAGATATACAGTGTGATTTGGTCCCACATCGCAACAAGAAATAATGCTATATTGTAATCGTCTATCTCAAGTTTTGTGATGTCAGATGCGTGGGACAACTCATGATGTTGATTGTATTTCCAGCACTTCATCTTTCTATATCTCGCCTCTTCATGTTCTTTAACATTTCATCATTATTTTCCAGTTAATCAAATTGGCTTCACAGTCCGTAGTTAATTTCTACAAATGTTCATCTCAGATATTAAATTTTTGCTTTGTGTATATCAACAAATAAACATTAAACTGATGTTTATATTTTGAAACCAAATAGAAATGAAATTAAGATTGAGATTCTGCAAACTTTTATTAGGGAAGAAAAACTCCAAAAGATAATGAATTCTTGTTCAGAAGCTAGAAACTAATAAGAAATTATTATTAAATTTTTATGAAAGAGACTAGAGATCTCATTTTTTTTTTTTTTTAATTATATTACACAGTGCGGTAACTTTACCCCTCACTTCAAAGGGTCCCTTAGAGGCTGGGACACTTGGGGTAAATAAGTGTAGATGCTAAAATTTACAGTTTCAGAAAGAAGGTTTAATCTTGTAAGGTTGAGACCACTGACAATCTGCTGAAGCTATACACAAAACAAACAAGTGCGAAACTTATGTAAACACCAGTGTGGTGTATGTCGTAGGCATTCCGATGCTCAAGTCGATAAGGCTATTTAGTGAGGGATAAGGGAATGAAGGGTTACTGGAAGTTTAGTCAGACACTAAAATTACAGCGTAGGTGTATAACTCTTAGGAGCAAGAGCTTGGGAGCAAGTAGGTGGTATCCAAATTGAATCGTAATGAGAGGTAAGACCCCTTTTTATATAGTAGTCATAGGATCTTTGATTCCTAGTGGGACTTTGAATCCACAATGGCAGAGTTCTGGTAAATAAGAAAGACCCTGATTTACCCTAGTAGGACTTTGAATCCGCAATGGCAAAGTACTGGTATATAGGAAAGACATTGATTTATCGAGAGTCCTAATTCACATAAGATGCAGGATCTTGAATGAATTAGGATAAAATCCAAATAGGAAGTAGATGTATTAGGGCTTTTAGTGGGACTCTGAGCTCTCAGAAGTTATCATGGACCAATGGGCCTGACCCTAAGTGGGCTAATGGTGATGCCCAATATGGAGAGAAGTTGGGCTTAGGCGATGGATCTGACCCATGACGTGAACCTTAACATGGGCCAAAATCAGAATTGGGCCACGACCTTAGGCCTACACAGTAGAAATAACTCGCTTGGGCCTGACAAGGCCCAAGTTGATTTTTGGCCCATACAATTAGCAGATTCCATAAATATTTCAAAACTCAGTATGTCGATCAAGGGCCAATCCCTATATATATATATATATATATATATATATATATATAGAGAGAGAGAGAGAGAGAGAGAGAGAGAGAGAGAGAGAGAGAGAGAGAGTAAAACATTTCTATAGTTATAATGGTAGAACCAACTAATTTGATTACTATGAGGAAATTATAACTTAATAGAGGTGTAGTTACAAAAATTACTGTTTTTATTTCTTATTTTATAATTCATGTTTTAGTAATATAGTGTTACGATTTCAATTCATGTTTTAATAGTACTAGGACTTCAATTCAACACTTCAATTGTCTACTTTTGAAACGGATAAAAGATATTGTCTAGGAACCAGTAAATATAAGTGTTTTTGATGGAATTGTATATGCAATTGTTGCATGGTCAATTGATGTGAAGCTACAAACAATTGTCAATTGTTTTTAGCACTACAAAATTAAGACCCCCGATGTCGATGAATTGCAAGTTACAAATGAAATAGATGAGGAGAATCAAAGATTCATTACAAAATTGAGTGACCAGATTCGACAACTTTACTACACTAATCAAATGGATATTAATGTTTTCGTCAATCATCCAAATGAGCAATAAATCATATATGCTTTAACTAAATAAGAAATCATTCTACAATTAGACAAGAAGAGAAATGAAATCATCATAAGGGTGATAGTACGAAAATAAAAAAAGTTTAGTGCCAAAAAGCTCTAAACATTCTTGAAAAGTTAGAAATATTTTGAGTTCTATAAGAAAATGTCAATGCTAACGAGTTATTATGTACCCGCATATTAAAAGATGTGGTAACAACTCTAAAACACAAATTATTTTCCCAAACAAGTGAACAACTTTAAATAAATATTTTATTTCATGTTAAATCTTTAATGTAATATATCATATATTTTTTTGCAATATACAAATAATTATTACTATGTAAAGACAATTTTCTTAAGATTGGAATTAGAAAAATTATAACTTATTACAATGTGAAATTTATTTTCATTATAACTATCCCAATTTATGACTACATGGAGATTATTCCTATATAGAATATCATTACAGAGTAGTATTACATATGAGGTGGCCCAAAAATTCAAACCCAAGAAATCAATGAAGGAAGCAAGCCTTCTTGACTGCTAGGCCAAATAGCCAACCCGTTGAGTTAGTTAGCTTATATTGACAAACTAGTCCAAATATATATAACCTATTTATTTGCATTGATCCTAATTGAGTGTGATTGTGTGAACAACCATTAGAATGTCCACTTATACAAATTAGGTCCATCCAACAAACTTAAAAAATTCTATTTCTATTTCTATTTTATAATTTTTAACCCTCTAAATTATCTCTTTTTTACATCAGAATCCCCGAATGAAAACATTTCTCCTGGTTGTAAGTTGTAACTGCCATATCTGGCAATGACGTTCTACATCCTTTATATGCTTACCAATTGATATCATGTTATTTATATTTTTAATTACACTGTGATTAGTTTATAAGTTAATGTAATATAAACATTTTTTTATTGCCAAAAATTTCTAATAAAAAAGACAATAGTATATTCCATAAATTTGAATGGACAATGAACAAACGTCCACTAGAATCAACGTTTAGTTGATGAAGTCAAAAGCATTCAAAATTAAATAAGAGAAAAATGAATCCAAAACAAAAAGACGCACAAATAAAACTAAAAGGGCTTCCACACTGCTTTTAATTCTGTTTTACCAACTCAGAAGGGTACAAGGAAATTTACATCTTCATATTAAAATCTTATATTCTTATTTAGTCAATGCTGGTTGCCAATTAGGGAATTAAATATAATATCTGTATTAATTCTATGCAATCCTGGTCCTGGCTAGTGGCTGCTGCCTGCTAACTTGTTTAAATCAATTACCTTATGCCAAATTTTCAATCTATCTCCATCTTCAAAGGTAAACAGAGAAAGCAACATTAAGATTGAGAAATGAGTCACGGAATTGGTTCAGCTGGAAGAAAATCATGTCTCCATAACTGCATTACATCAACCTTCTCAACCACAAACTCCATGCTTCAACCTTGTTCATACGTTGCTTTCAATTCCCATCTTCCAAAACTCAGTTTTCCCCTCAAAACTCAATCTGGGTCTTTCCAAAACAGACCGAGGGCCTCTGTCGTTAACAGTTTGTACATTGGCACAGAGAGTTTGTACGACTTGTTGGGCATTTCAGATAGTGGAACACTCACAGAGATCAAGCAATCTTACAAGCAACTTGTACGAAAATACCATCCTGATGTGTCGCCGCCGGAAAGAATAGAAGAACACACGAAGAGGTTTATTCAGGTACAAGAAGCTTACGAGACTTTATCCGACCCCATAAGCAGAGCTTTGTATGATAAACAATTGGCTTTGTCTTCGAGGAAAGAGGTAACTTGCTTGATTTCCAACTAATCTCTTACATTAAAAACTATACTATGAATTAATTGTTGATATTGGATATTGTTTGAAGCAGGAATTGGAAGAGAAAAGAGAGTGGCGGAAGCAATGGCAGTCTCAACTGACACGGCTGAAGAGAAGGAGCATGAGGCAGGATTCGAGGGCCAACATGTCACGGGGAGCTAGAATGCGCAGGAGATCAAATCAAAACTAGAGATGATCATCATGTTTACCATTATTATATTGTCCTAAATGGCGATCATCATTGAGGCTTTGATTTGTTCGCGTTATAATATATATGGTTTTCATGGTTAAGTTGAAAAATATCAAACAATCAAAAGTTGTAATAATCAAATCATACATAGTTGAGTTGGTTCCAGCTGCATGCAAAGATTATCGATCCCACTTACATCACTAATATTATAATCCAGAATTAGGTATCATTTTCACAAATGGTAGGATTTGATAGAGACTTCCTTTCACGAAACCTACGGGTACCATAGCTAACTCATCTAAATTAATTAGCAAAATAAATTATTATATCCTCCACAAATTACTTGTTATAAAAGACAAAATTAAAGATACAAGGTTGTTATACGGTAAATCCATGTAGCATGAATTTACGTCACGTGTCTAAGGTTGTGTTGTTATTCATGCCGCATGTCATTCTATCTAAAGCTTATATTACTTGTAAGTTTACTATTGTAACACTATATAAACCTACTTTTTATTCTAATTAAGGGGGCTCATTCATAACCTGTGCAAGCCCAACTTATATGCAGAGAAAGCAATACAAAAAATGGTGGACGTAAGATTTATATTAAGCATCCGAACTACTTAATTTTTTTTTTTTCTTGTGTTATTGTTTGATTTATTATTCATCTATCGATCCAGCATCAGAATTACAGGTTTTACAACTCCTATATCGATTCTATTACGAATCCTAAGCACTTCTACAAATGTCTTTGCAACTATGTATGTGTCAACCACCATACATTGATATTCGTTAAGGGGACTATTTCTATGGATATTTTTAAATTGCTAAATGCTGTCCTCTTATATAAGTTTCTTTAATAGATAATAATGTAATGTACTATATTTCAAATTTATTTCTCAAGTTAAAACATGTCAACACGTTAGGAAAAAAGAAAAGGTAAAGAAAATAACATATTACCTTCAAATCGTTAATTATTTTCGTAATTTAGGAACAGAAAACTCAAAATTGTGGTGGGCTTAATCTAAGATAAAAATGATGACGCAACTGTAATGGGCCTCAACATGTTTCAGGGGCTTAGAGGTAACGAGGTTACCGCTTTACTGATTAGCACAAGGAAATTATGGAATGAAGAAACAATCGATTTTAATAAATTGACAGAAACGGTAAGCAAATCCTAGATTCCCACTTCTGCGCATACTTGCAATCAAATGGCAGCTAATTTCTGGACATCCTCTCACTAGTAAGTTTCCATTTATCTAAATTTTAATTGCCCAGATTTCTAAATTTTGATTCTTTGTTGCTTATGATTTTGCGTGTGTGCAGCAAACAGCTCCTGGACCAGGAAGAGGTGGATGTGGTGCAACCTCTTGACAGAGAAAAGGGTATCACTCTTGAAGAATTCAAGCTAATTAAGATGCAAATGGCCAGTTGTATGTGCTCTCTCTCTCCTTCTCTTTCCATCCTCATCTGTATTATGACTTACGTTTCTGTTTTGATGTCTTAGATGGAATCTTAATTTTAGCATCTTCGTAATTATTATTATTATTATTATTTTTGGTATAAATTTCATGCGTCTGAGAATTTTTTTATGCCAGTTTAGGAAAGTATCTTCGTCTGGATTGAGGCCTTTTTTTTTCCTTTCAATCTGCTGTGTTTCTTATTAAGAAAAAGGAGAAAAAAAGAAAAAGAAAAGAATTTCATTCAGTCTCCTAAATTCTTTGAAGAATTGACTATCAAAAATTTCATCTTCAATGTACAATAATTCCGAGAAGCTAATGCGGAAAAGAAAAATTGGAAGTTGAGGATGAGTGGTCAATAGTATCAGAATTTTAAGTAATCGATAGAAATTAAACTGTGGTTACTGAAACCTAGTTAATTATTATTGATTATAAAACAAGATTCAGGATAACAAATAGTTGTTTTTTTTTTTAATTTTGTCACTGTTCATTTAGGAAAGGGTTCTTGTAGTTCTATTTTTCTGCTTTTGCATTTCTTCACCAGTTAACATTTTTTTTGAATTTGTGTCTTTCTTTTTCCAGATATATCAAAATTGGCTCAAAATGTAAAAGTGAGGCAGAGGTTTGATCTCTTCTCCAGATGTTTTATGCACTTCTGCAAATCACTTGCACCCTGTTTGAGACTTAAAATAGAGAGAGGAATCATGTGAACATGTATTTCATTTCCTTTGTTGTAGTTGCACCCTGTCTAGAAACAAATCATATGAACATGTAGTTGGTTATGGTAAATTGCATCTGGTAAACAAAATCACAGATGAAAAGTTCAATTTCTATATAATTTTCGGATTTTAAAGGTCCAAAAAGGTAGAAATCTAGACTGTAGTTTATTTATTTTCTGTAGGCATCTAAAGGTTATGTGCATATTTAATTGTAATAACTATATATTCATAGCATTGATTAGACTCAGTTGGCAACTTTATGAGTACAATGTTTCATAGAAATGCACACCCATCTAACATAATTGCTTTTTTAAAGAATAAATTATTCTTTGCAAAAAGAAGGGCAATATAAATTTCTATCGTTCAACCATACAAATTCAACAGAAAAAAAGAATTACGTATGCCTGTTATTTTAGAGTTTTCTTTCAGCATTAACAATACACTATACCTCTTGTACATGGTTCTTCAGTTTATGTGTTAAATTCGCTTTGTCATATAAATGTTAAATCAAATACACAACATTTATTTTGTATAAGTAAAGGATTTTATAGGTTCATATATAAACAATGTAAAATCAAATGATAATTTTGTCACTTATAGCAAATAATATTGTTAGTTTAGGCAATCAAAAGATTTTACACAGAATGTGCTTTTATGTATAACGAAGATAGATAGATCAGTATTATGATAATGATTAATATATTTGTTTTGTCACTGTTAGAAAGTTGATATGGGCCAGATGTTGATCTCTAATAAAATGGTCTATCTTTCAGGGTAGTGGCCACTGCAGTTACATATATGAGACGTTTTTACACCAGGTATACTGCATAATTGTCTGATTGATGAGAGAAAAGTGCACGTTGTTAATGACTAGAAACTCATGGCTCACTCTGTAACTTAGATATATTTGTTCTAGTAGCCATTTTATCCTTAAATACTTTATCATTTCCTAAACTTTGTGAGTTGTATTCATAAAAGCACTTGATTCCAACTGTTTGTTGACAACTTACTAACTGTAACTTCTCTCTCTGATTTTAGAAAGAGTATGACAGAATATGATCCACATCTTGTCGCTCCAACTTGCTTATACTTGGCATCAAAAGCTGAAGAAAGCACAGTACAGGCCCGACTTCTACCATTTTACATCAAAAAAATATGTAATTACTTTGGTTTCCTCCAAGTTTAGTTATTTGCATTTTTTTCTTCTGTGATATGTGTTGAGAACCTACCACTTTTGCTTTACAGATGCTGATGAAAAGTATAGATATGAAGCAAGATATATCGAAATGGAAATGAAGATTTTAGAAGTCTTAACTATTATTTGGTTGTATTCCATCCATACCGTTCACTTGTGCAGTAAGCATTTTCTCCTTTGTACATTTTAAGCAGTTGTTTTGTTTTATTCTTCTTAATTTCAGTATATAGTTTTATAAATAAGAGGATTGTGCCGCAAGGAGAAGAGAGGTGGGGTTGGGATGGGGGAGTTTGACTCAATAGGTCTTTCAACCTACTTTTACAATTCAACATTGATTAGAAATGCCAACATCTTTGTGAAATCAGCGGTAATTTGATTAAAACCACTGCATATTTGTTTCATGGACATAGCATTAGTGTAGATGTATAATTTTATCCAATAGTAGTTTTCATACGTGAACTTTGATTCATTATTTGACCATGCAAGCTCCTAGCTTCTGCAAATGATAAGCTGGCCATATTTATCAATTGTGTTTAAAGAGATTAATGTATTAGGTGCTTATCTTATTTCTTTTTCCATTTGGAATTGTCTTTTGGACATATTATAGTAAAATGTTTTAGAATTCAAGGCAGCATTATAAACTCACAATGATAAACTATTTGAAGATGGAACTTTTAAGTACCTAGTTAAAGTGTTCTTATTTTTTGACCTTGCTATTGTCGTTGTCTAGCTATTATTCTTAGCCTATTTTTATTTGCTTGGATCCTTTGTCTTTGCTGTATTCTTTGTTTTCTTCAACAAACATTAGCTTTGATGTTCTTTTGACTCTGAAGCTCCATTTAGAAAAAGAAAATTCATAATCTTGTGGAATCTAGACCATAGGATGGGACTAGTACCTACGTCCACTTTTTCAATAAAATTATAGAAGTAAAAAACTAACTGCCAATGTCACCCTGGGTAAGGTTTTAAAACATTGTCGGTCAACAATTCAATTGATACCCACTACTTGAACTACGATTCTACTCTACAAAAACCCTCTAACCTCAACCTTGGTAGCCCCCTTTTTTTCGGCCGTGACTCGTGTATACCGTCATGATTGGGTTGATTTTCCGATCAAATTTCGGCTGATTCTGATGTAAACAATCAATCAGCACAAACTCTTGAACCACAATTTCTACTACAAAACCTCTCTAATCCCAGCACTTGATGCCCCCGTTCGCGACAATTAGATTATGGATTTTGAGAATAGTTAAAAGAGGTAACCCAATTCGGAGAAGGCCTCGGGTCCCAGTCGAACCGATTAAACCGACCGGTCTGGGCGGTTCCTAATCAATGGTTCATGTGGTGTATTAGAATTTTAGCATAACACTAATATTGATACTAATTACTATGATTATTGTCTATGATCAGGATTAATTATGATAAATTTCATCATTATGTGCATTGGAGCCTTATCCTTAGAAAAGGACGCTGAGGCTTAGGAGATGGAGGATCTGAGTGACTGGAAGAGAAAGAGTCAGGAATATCAGCGGATGGGGTCCGCGGTTTAGCAGAATACTTTCTCTCTTCTTTGTTCTCGTTCAGCTTGATCTTTTATCACGTTTTCTTTACGGAGTTGGCATATATGTTCAGTGTTGCCAAAAGCTTTAAAGCACCAGAAGGTATATGAGGTGAGACAAACGGTTGGCTAATTTTTGGGAAAGGGGAAAGAGGTTGTGGCCATGCGTTGTGGAATCAAAAGGGTTGGTACCAATGACATTTCAGGGAAAGTCTGTGGTTGTCTGAGTTTTTGTTAAGATATTCCTGCTGAAGCGATGCTATTTCGGTTTTTAATGACTTCATTTCTGCTTCCTTCTGAAGAAACTGAGTTGATGCATGGAGCTACTGATAATAGCATTAATTCCTGATGGAGCTGATCAATCGGTTTGGAGATGATCAGTTTGTTTGTAGCCGAGAATCAGCAGAGTTTGGTTTGATGACTGAGGTCCACCTGATGAGCTAATAAATCCAGTTTTGTTCAAGTCTAGTCATGGTTGTGTTTGGGCTAAAGCATTTTTAGTTTGCCAATGGAACTGCTTCAGCTTGGGAGGTTTTGGGTGTGGATCCATCAGGTGTATAGCTTTGGAAGGACAACTCTTGGTTGTTGAGTGGCAGTTTCTGGAGGGAAGGAAAATCTGTGTCATAATTGAAATGTTGTCCGTCTTGTGGGCTAGGGGATTGGATACAGACAGACTGAACAGGTGGAGCATGAGCAAGGGGTGAATGGGTTGGTTTATCTTTGGCAATCCACCGTAAGGACTATGATAAATGGTAAAGGCTGTCTGAAGTAAGGTGACTTTGTAGGTTTGGATAGTTTTAAAGGTGATTTGGGTTCAGGTTTCGGAGGGATGTCCCATGAGGGATTACTAGATGGTGACTCTTTTCTGGCTGGTGGAGAATATTTGACATAATAGTCAAATTTACCAGATGGTTGACCAAGAAGACCAACTTCAGGATCAGTTTCTTCAAAGCGGGAATGAAGATTAGTCTGACTGCAGCGAGCTTTCTTCTTTTTCGGTTAGAATATTCGTCTTGGAAGATAATGCTCATCGATTTCCCAAATAGGATCATCACGGCATTTTGAGCATTGGCAGTCAAGATCAAATGGAGTGTGACCAGTGACGGATCATTGATGGTAGATAGGAGCACCAGTTGTTGAAAAGAATGAATGGAAGTCCAGGTTCCGTATGTGGTAGTGGGTCTGACCGGAGTAATCATGAATGAGTTTGTCGAAAACTCAAAGGTGGAGCACTGGGAGTTGCTGGAGACTTAAATCTGATAGGTGTTGTTCCGTTACTGTTGTCATGCATGGTAGATTCTGGAGAAACCCGGAGTCTCTTTTTTGTTAAGAGACTCGACTCGTCACCCAGAGTCGGGTAACAGTTTAATCAATCATCTCGGAAATTTGCCTGGGAATATTGATGCAATGAGGAGTATCGAGAGTCAACAGTAAGGAGCAGTGCAACAGTAGTCGTAGGGATAGCGAGATCAAGAGCATGGTTTGGATTCGCCAAACCTTTGATAATGCAAAGTAGCTGCAATACTTCTGGATTTAAATCTGCACAACAATCTGTAATTGAACTTTAAGAGCCTTAGAGCAATGAACATCAGAGAGAGACATGGTTGAAATTAGGAAACAGGTCATGATGACATGTCCCAGCATTCAAAGGTTGTTGTGCAGCCCGATACAAGGGAGTGTGATATTGGACAAATCTGGTGTCCAATAAGCAATTCGAACTGAGACTGGAAGTCATTTTCTGCATGATAAGAGAGAGCGAGCCGGAGATTGCGCCAAAGTGCACATGAGAGTATCCTTCACGGATCCATTGAGTAATGGATTCTTGAGGGATTTCTAAAGTAACATATTGTTCTTGGGATGTGGCTGGAATTGACACTTGTCAAAGACTAGTCTGGACATACTCTTTGACTGGCTTTCTAGAAGGACGGACAAGAGTTTTAAAGGTTTTAGACAACGAAGACGTAGACTTGGAAAAGGCGGTGTAAGGATTTACAATGGGAGGGAGTGTATCTTGGATTTTTTGATTTTCTGGGATATAAGATATTTCTACAGACTGTCTTAGAAGAAGATCTAGATAAACAGTATTTATGGGAGTAGTAAACGTAGATAAAGCTGAAGAGGATTCCATGGAACGTAAGTTCAACCTCTTGGATGTGTAATATCACTCAAACGGGAAGATAGCACAAGACCCGAAGATTACATATAAACATAATTTAAGAAACAGTGAAATAAAACATAACTATGAAAAATGAGAAAGAAAAATAACCAAACTTAAAGAGCCAATATCCGAGGGGAGGGTAATCCTACACGCAGAAATTGGAACCAATAGTAACTTATGAAGCCAATATTCGGAGGGAGGTTCCAATTTATGAGCTCTTTTTTGCAAGACATGGCAGAAAGGAACGTCTTGCGCGCTTCGGGTCTTTCTGAGGATTTCTATCACCTTCCAACAGAATCAGAAGCTGCCATACCTTCAACCGATGAATCATTTGAAAGTGAATTTGACTCTGACAGTGATACTTCTGATCAACATCTTATGTTTCTCAACTGATGACCCATCAACCTGAATCGTCCAGACCACCTGTTTCTGAGGTCGATGTGAGATGCCTGAAGGTGATGATTCCATTCCAGACTCTTCGCCTATGTATCGACAATCTCGTCATACTCCAGCTGAACATGACTCTATACAGCTTCAGCAAAGCTCCACACTTTTACTGTCGAAGATCTTCTCCACACAAATGGAGAACTCGAATGTATGAATTTCAGGCGATTACAAGCTGAGATGTTGAAACCGAATGCCCAAGTCTTATGTCCTTACGCAGTTTACAGCTAGATTGGTGGCACTTCTACGTGATTGGTGGATAAGTCTTCAGGAGTATAGACAAAATTTGGTCATCCAAATGCCAGATATCAACCAAGCCTTGTATCTCCTGTATGATGAATTCTGTGGATTACCTCACCTTTATGAGAACAAGTAGAGAAGAATATTCAAGATGCGATGCTGTTCTCTAAAAAAGAAAGATCTTGACAGGCATTACAAAGAGATGGTCAAACGATATCATTATTAGGGGTATGGATGATCCTAATATGACAGCAAGCCTTTTGGCATCAATTCCTGAATCCTAAGTGCAGAAGCAACCAAGCTAATGTAGTCCCAGAACAAACAACTTGGCTCCACTTCTCTTGGTGAAATTACCGTTTGTTATTTTGCTCTAGAAAAGCTCTGTTCTCAAAAACAAATTTTTGACGATTATATGAAGCGTTATAAACAGCTCACAAGGTTTGTCAACGACCAGACTTGCAGATCAAGTGCAAATCAGATCGCTCATGTTCTTGTCCACCAAGAGAAGATTATTCTGACGCATCAAGTTTTTCTCCGCCAAGCTTCGGCTCGATGCAAATTTCGACGTTTCAAGAACCGCAAGTTCTTCGCAAAAGGAAACGTAAGGCAAACGGTCTATCGGTGTTTTATGCAACCGCCCGGGTCATTTTGCCAAAATGTCCAAACAAGCCTAAGCAGTCAGTCAAAATGATGCAACAAACTTCTCAGCTCACAGATATCGATTTTTCTGATGATGATGTTGAAAGTTGGTTTTCAATGGATGAC